GGGGAGTGATTGAGAGCTTCAATTACTATACTGAGGCGCCAAGAGCTCGATCAATCTTGGAACATAGTGAATACTCAAAGGTGTTCTGAGGACTAGACATAGGTCAGGTGGTTGAGACCGAACCAGTATAAATCTTGTGCCTTCCTTTCTACGATGAAATCATTCTAACTCACACTCTCTATTTCCGATAGTTCTTTGTTTTAATTTTGTAAATTTTTATAACTCACCCAATTCACCCCCCTCTTGGGTGAGACTACCACTAACAGTCTTGTCGTACCACTATGGATATTGTTAACTGACCATGACTTTCCTAATGGTCTCTCCTGATTTTCCACTTTCATTATCACAGACAGCCATCACCTAAGTTTTCTGTAATCCAAATGACCAAATAAAATTATCAATGAATAGTGTAAAATGTTTTCCTCAAAATTCAGAGCATAGAAGTTTTAAGTTTAAAAATTTGTTTTGATTGCCAGAACCATTTGCTCTAGTACCAAAAATGTAACACCTTAAGTTTATACCAGTTAACTTGCCTTGCGGAAGCATCTGGAATCACTTTTGAAGACTACAAGTTATGAAAAATCACATTTGAAAATTTATATGACCCTTAAGTATGAGAAAAGGCTTAAAAATTTGAAAATTTTTCATTTTCCCAGTTCAGGTCGCGACTTAGTGCTTCCCGGTCACGACTTGAGGTCACAGAGGCCATTTTTGCCTCCAGATCATGACCTCAACTTCTCAGGTTGTGACCTCAAGTCACAGAATGCTTCTGCGTACTATTCACATTTCACTGAAATCTTTGCCAACTTTAAAAATTCATAACTGATTATAGAAAAATCAAAATCAAGTGATTCCAAGTTTTATGGAAAGCACTTTGGATAAACTTTTGAAGAAAAAATAGTTTCTAGACTGGTTGCCTTGAAATTCAAGCCTTGTTTTCTTTGTAAATCTTACTGTTTATTTGGTCATCTTTGGATTTTTACCTTACTTTTGCCTAACTTTGGAAAGGCACAACTTTCTGCTTGGTTATCAGAATGGGCAAACAACCACTCATTTTAAAGAGAAATATCAGATCTCTTTGCTTGCCAAATTTCATAACCTAACTTACTTGTTTGCTTAAATGGTTGTGGGTCAAACTTTGATCCATTTTAGTTGACATTTTACCCCCTTGAAAGGGTAACTTAACTTAATTGACTATTTACCATCATAACATACTCTCATTAGCTATATTACCTATTTCTAATCATGCTTGTATACTTCTAACCTTAGTCATACTATTGGAAACTTAAAGCATGCTTAATATTACATTCTTCCAAAATAGAAAGGTTCAAAGCCATATAAAGTTACTATAGCTTACTACCTCTTTAAGTAAAAGCCAACTCCCTTCTGTTGCCCTTGGATGTTGAATGCCCTAGGGTTTGTTTAAATATTGGGGTAAGATTCTTGGGGAATCTTAGTAGCAATTGCATACATTATCAAGGTCACATAATACATTGCAAATTAAGCTGTATGCATGTATGCTTTAAGCCAACTCCCTTCTGTTGCCCTTGGATGTTCATGCTATGGCAAGGACATATCATCATAAACATTCATAGCACTCAACATAGCATAAGCCAAGGAATAAATTGCATGAAGGCAACATCATATAACATAACATTCTCATCTACCTCATAGCATAACAACTTAGCAAGACACATAGCCATAATTATACAAAGCAAGGTGACACACTAATATAATGGATTGCAAAGCTACCTTGAATGCTTTACTTCTTTTTGAACTCTTTCCTCTTAACTAGATCTTAATATAATGGATTGCAAAGCTACCTTAAATGCTTTCCTTCTTTTTGAACTCTTTCCACTTGACTAGATCTTTACCCTTTTGTTGTGCATAGCCTATTAAGCAACTGATGACACAACGTTAAGCATCATTACAACTTCACAACTTAACATAACCCCTTAAACCCTTTTTTCTTGGTTTTTAGGATTTATTTTTCTAGTTTTGATTCTTAAACTTTCTTGGGCCTTTCCTATATAATTTTTCTTGTAGAATTTAATTATCACATTAGTTTTATGAAAATTCAATTCCTACGCTACTAACTTGATTTGATCGAACTCATAAATAATCATAGGGAAAAGGATTTTCAACAAAACTAACATGTAATCACTTAATCCTTAACCCTTAACCATGCTTAAGCACTTCCCCCTAGAAAAATGACTTTCCATCATCATCAAAATAGTATAAAACTAACATACAACCATTATAACTTGAAATAGAAGAGTTGTAGAAGCTTACCTTGCTTCCAAGTGACTTTCTCTCACTAAAACTCTTCTCTTTCTCTCTCCAAATGAAATTTTACAAGAGGTTCCCTACTTGAAAGGTCTTGCATGAAATGAACATGTGGGGGGTATTTATAGGCTTCATATTTTCATTAATCAAATAAGACTTAATCTTGGCCTTCCAATTTTTACCTCTTTCCACATGCATAAATCTTAGGCTATATGGCTTAATATGTTGACACTTGGATGGTGAGTCACTAGGGCTTATGTCATCTCTTCTTATTCATTAAGATTAATTAGGTTTTAATCAAGGTTAACTCTCTTAATTCCTTGATTAACTTGGCTAATTATCCTTCTAGAAACTTTTGACTTTTCAAAGATAGATGGTTGAATCCTAGCCATCTAATGAACCATGTTTGCCATGTGTCAAGATCTTATGAAAGATGACTTAACCATAATCATCTTTACTTATCCCTAATAAGATTTTAATCTAAATTGATTTATTATTTTCTTTTTATTTTCTTTTTTTCCTTTTCTTGGCCAACTTGGGTGTGACATGTGTCCTTGTAATTTGTAGGAAATTTTATCACCCCGGTTGTCCTAACAGCCCACTGAGTTTTAATATAATATTGGTTTATTTTATATGATAGCTGAAAAATTCTAGTATCTCAGAATTCTTATATCAGCTCACCATTAATTATATCTCAATAAAAGAAACTTCCTTGATTAATTTTATAATTTATCTCCCTCTGTAACTCTTTAAATTGCTATTTCTGTAAAAACAGATAATCTACCTATATTAATTCAATTTAAGGTTGGAAATAATTTTATAAATCTTTATAATTCCTAAATGAATTTTCTTTAATTGTTCATAATTTTCTGAGATCTCTAGATATTTTTAATAATTAATATTAGCTAATTTTTCCTAGTTTAGCCAAAATATTAATAATTAAAATAATTTTTCATAAATTATTTTCAACCTGTATTTACTTGCCACACCTCAAATACTGTTCTACGACATTAATTCTATTTTTCATGATTTACTGGAAATTTTTAGGATTTTTGGACACTAATTACGATAATGCCCTTTATAGACCAATCATTTTTTAAATGACAATTTGGTCCATTTCTAGTTTTCACTTCAATTGTTATATTGTTTATTTATCTTTTATCTCACTTGGCCTTGGTCAACCCTAATTCCTTCATTAATCATGCTAAAGATATCAGGGTGTGACATATTTCCCTATTTCTAGGCTAGAAATTTTGGGATGTTACAATCATCACCGGTGAATCACTCCTTCCTTCCATTACCACCGAAGATCTCCATTCCATTCATCATCATCTTCGCAAAGGAGGGAGACGAGAGGCAGAGCGACCATCACCATCATTAGCAACACCCTCCACCTCTGTCTTCACCGTCGACAATGTTGTTCATTACTACAAGGATTAGCGACGACTCTTTCTTCTTCCTTTGAGCTTGCTGCGTCTAATGTGATGAGTGGCTGAATCTCATTGCTTCTTGGGATAGAGATAATGGTTTGAGTTTCAAAGCTACATAAGGGAGTTAATTTTATTCCATTCATTTTCTCTTATCTATATTTCGATTCTTTGGTTGTAGAATGGTGCTTTATAATGTTAGAGATTGAGATTTTGAGTTGATTATCTCTGTTGAATTGGACAAATATGACTGTGATTAGATTTGATAGTTTGAAAGTTATATATTCCTATATTTTCTTTTGTGAGTTTGTTGATATTTTATTGTTTGGCATGGTAGTATGGATAGTACACTTGATTTGGGCTTGCTTTTGAGTGTCTCGGTTGAGTGCTCTATTAATGTCTCAGTTAAGCATTAATCTTTAAGGGGAATGAGGTATTTGATTTAATCATAGTTACACACTAAGTGGTTTAAATAGCAACTTAAGAGGTGCTTATTAACTACAGGAGTAGGAATAATCACTAATTAGGATTGCTAGACCCAAATGGTGTTTTGGGGTTTTCTATTGAGACTTAGTGCATTGTTTTAACTCCCAAAATATTTTGAACAAGGAAGGTCATTAATCCATTTCTAAGAAGCATTCATCTTATACATTTTATCATATCCATTCCCATTCACTTTTATAAAAAGAAAAATAAAAAAAATAGTAGTTTAGATTTATTCCATTGCATCTCTAATAGTTAGTACAATAAAATTAACTTTCAAAACCTAAACCCTTTTTGCCCTGTCAAATTATTATTTTTGATACTTAGTTTACTTATGATTTCAAATAAAGGCTCCTCAAAGTGAAACAAGCCAAGTTTTGCACTATATTACATTTCGTGGATTTATTTTTGATTGAGAACCCCAAAGTGAACGATAAAGGCTCTCATCAACACTACTATAATAGAGACTTTTTACTTCTATTCCGAAGAACTTTTTACCTCTATTTTGGGGGGCATGAAAAGAGGGGACATAAATAAGTACCCATATTTCACTTTTGTTTTGAACAGACATAAAAAGTCAAACTTTTCTCACATCTGTTTTTAGGAAAATAGAAGTAAAAGGAGCTACTTTTTACTTTTGTTTTTTGCAAAACGAAAGTAAAGAATGACATTTTCTTTTTTTTTAAAAAAAAAAAGAAGAGGCATTTTTTGTTGGATTGGAAGTGATTTAGTGATTTAAATCACTTCCAATCCAATAAAAAATGTCCTATACTCAAAAGTCACTATATAAAGAAGATTTATAAATAAAAACATAATAAGTCAAATCACAACATATATATTAATTGTAGTGTTATATAGATACTCAAAAGTCACAATAATAATGTAACGTGAAAGTATCTAATACAAGTAAAATCACAAGGCCATTAGAAAGGACTGATTGAGATCAAAGTAAGTATTGACAGTTATACTTATGGGAAGAACCCATCGCTCTTCTTCAAAATCCACAGTTTTGTTCCTTGCAAATCCATAGTTTTCAAATGTGAACTGCATATGAAGGAAAGGAGTATTTTGGAATTAGGAAAACAAATGAAGTTACACTAGTGCAAGCTACAATTTAAAACTTCAGCTTGAAAGTAATTTCAACTCATGGCCCGGAACCCATAACGTACAATTTCAATGCATGGTATAATTCATATGAGAAGATTCAAGAATTAACAATAATCTCACTACCTTCACAACTTGTATCTTGTGGCATCATAGCCAACTTGTTTATCCAACCTAATAAGAGCTTGTAATTCATAGGCTCACTGCTGCAAACCTGTAGAGTATGGTGCTAACATTTCTTCAATCAACACTTGACACTAAGAGTCAACAAGGAGTTGATTAAATTTTAGCATCAATTTCCATAGAGATAACAAAATTTATGTTTTTCCTAATAGCCTACACACATGTAAAAGGATTATTTAAACTAATAAATAAATTCTGCTATCAAAGACTTATAAGTCCAAGCAGAGGGCAAATGTGATGCCCAGAAATTCAAAATTCAAAATCTAATTTGAAAAAATAAAGAAGAGAAAAGGATGTGGACTGGGTTGTTATCAGTTATCGCTCAAAATCAGAAAAGACAACCGACCCAATTTGCATAACAATAACATAAAGACAACCAAATTGTTCTGCCTTCATTATTAAAGAAACATAAAAAAAATTGAAACAAGAGATTAAATGATCGAAATTTGGTACCTGAAAACATGTTATAAAAAATACTATTATATGAATAAAGAAGTAAACAACAACAATAAAAGCTTTTTCAACTAGTAACCAAGGAATATAGATACAGCAATAATTAAGAAAAGACAATGAAGAAACTTACCACTTAGGAGTAATAACAACAAAACTTGAGAAAGCTTCTATAAAGCCTCTCCTCAATCACTATAAACAGGAATGAACGACTTAGGCATATCTTTGACTAACGACTAACAATTAGATTTCTAGCTGCAAGCTCTTCTATATAAGAAAAAATCATTTTAATATATGCAAGTAATAGGGAAAACAGAATTGCTAGATAACACAATACCTTGGCCTTTTCTTTGCCCTTCTTATTAGTTAGGACACTAGTACCACACTATTATGATACAATAATTATTAGCTTCCCATTATTTTGATTCAAAATTAGGAGAACAAAAGTGAATGATAAAAAAGTAGAAAACGAAAAAGAAATACAAGCAAAAATGATTAACTTCTCTTTATGAAACAAAGCATCTAAACATGTAAGTTGATACATAAATTGGTATCTAACTTAAGCATCATGCTTGCCTTTTGATTCAGTTTTTGATGCACCCTTCCATCAAGAATGAATTTGAATATCAATAATGTGTGCTGCTAGTCTACACTATAGCCAAGTAACTCCACCAAATATAGAGAGCGCAACTGCTTAGCATATCCACCTCCAATCAAATTAAAAGAAAAAGAAACAAGAAATTTGTCAGCAAGTGTCCACATCCCCATGTTCAACATTTGAATACAGCTTATAATGTGAGTTGTATGTATAAGAGATTAAGGACTCGCGATTGAAAAATCATAATCATAGATGATTTATAATGTTAGGTTATTTGTGAAACATTTACTACGCTTGTGCCATACCCATGTTTCTTTGCATTCTCAATGTAACTAATTGGTTAGATATTCTAGCACGAGTGCCTCAGAATCAAAGTAAATACAGAACAACTGCTTGGCTATATACTGATAATAACTAATGCTAGATTATCTAATTGATTTCTACTAATCAAAACAAGTGAATATCTATTTTAGGCACCTGCTTTTTCCCCAAGATTCATATAAGAGATATGTATATGATCTATTTATACTTTTAGAGAAATAAGTCCCCAGTAGCATGTTGTAACCTCTAATTTAATTTTACTTATTTTAGTGAAAGAATCCAACTTGCTTATTAGGGGATATGAACAAAAACACATGAATAGTTGAATTCATTGCATAAAGCTGTTACCTCAGTTGAGCAGGGTGTAAGTCATGATTAATCCCTACAAATAGTTAAAGTCCTAATTGCAGCTTTAGATTCATTATCTCTCTTAGATGATAAAAAGCAAAACCATTATTAAGTGTTTCTATAAAACATATTGATAAATAAATGAAATAGAGTCTTCTAATTCATAACCAACTCAAACCTAAAATAACAAAGTTTCAATTGCCTTCTCCATTCCCCAATCCCCTATCCTAAATTTCTCAGTCTCACTATTCTTTATAAAACCCTTATTGAAATGTTATCTAAACCCCACTTCTTCCCCTACCATAAGAAAATCTTCACGTTGTGTTTCAGATCCAGAGAATTAAACCCCAACTCCAACTCATCTACCTATACTTCACTCTCACCATAACAATACTAAAGATTTATAGCATCCCCCAAACTGAAACTGAAAATCTATCACCAAGATAGTCAACATAATAGAATAGTATCACAAGATCTTGAATTCGCAAGGAAAAGAAGAACAGAGTTAGAAGGTGAATGAACATTGAGATCGTCACCGATGGAGTCGATCTCCTTATTGACCCTTCAGAGATCCCTATTTAACAGCTCATCGTCATTGTCCTGCAAAGGAGAGAAACGCTACAATACTAGAGACGCAGCTCCTGCAACCTTCATTCACTATGGAGATAGGAGGAAGAGGAGACAGATTGCTAGTGTTAGTTATAGTTGTCAAGGGGAGCAGTGGAGATAGGAGGAAGAGGTGATATAGGAATGAAACTGGGAAGGGAGGGAGATGTTCGCGGGCTACACAGATTAAATAGGGCAATTTTTTTTAAAAAAAACTTAGGCCCCTTCTTGTCTGTTACTAATGGAACAGAGGAGAAGCTTTGTGTTCTCGTCTGTTTTCCACAATAGACAAGAACATAGAGCATATTCTTGTCTGTTTTACTCAAATAGACAAGAATACTCATTTTTCTCCTCTGTCGTTAACAGACATGAATGGGGGAGGTAAAAAGTATATTTTCTTGTAGTGATATTATTAAAGCTAACATTCTTATCAAAAGAAGTCTGGAATAGTTTTACAGATTATTATAATCCTCTAAGGTATTTTTTTTCATATTTTTCCCATAATTATTGATGCCTGTAAATATTTTTCATAATTAACATTGTTTACTGTTACTTGGTGTAACCAAAAATTCTTGTAAATATAGAAAATTCTATATTTATTTATTTTCCTTCCAATAATTCCTCTAGGGCCTCAAATACTATTTCTTGATCCTTATTTCCTTTTTCCATGATTTTCTGAGAATTTTTAGGAATGCCTAATCTGACCTCCTAATTAAATCATTTTTCAACTGATTCTGGCTACTATTCAAGTTTCATTTCAAACTTGAGAACTATACTCCTTTTATACTAACTGGTGATTTGACCGTGTCATTACCCCTTTGGGTTAAATGCAAGAAATTTATAACCAAATCTAAGAGATGTAGTATAGCAATGCAATCTAGATCGTGTTCACCTTTGGGAGCCTTTATTGATAACCTAAGCTATACTAAATACCATGCAATATAATGAAAGGGGTTTTTGGTTTAGAAAATCAACTTGAACTATAATTAAATGAATGTAATGAAATTAAACATAAGCTACTATTTTTTTGGATTTTTGATAAAATGATGATGGTGTGGAAATGGATGATAGGAAACCTCTTAAAAAATGGTTTTAATGGCAGTCATAGTTTACTTAAGACATTGGGAGTTTCATAAAATCATTAGGTTTTCTTGAACAACAACCTCAATTACCCATTGAGTCTAATGTTTAAATCAATGAACTTAATTAAATGAAAACATTGTTAAGCTCTCCTAATGTGCAATTTGAGAATGATCAATACAATTGGTTCAATATAACCCAAAATTAGCTCAATATCAAAACATAAGTATGCAAGTTGTCACACCTTACTTATATCGCATCTTAAAGTTCAATTAGAACCATTTTTTACCACTTCGGTTAAGCTTAAGCTCATAAAAACATAATGTGGATGTTACTTTACAAAATTACTGTTCATTGTGCAATTTTCAGATTACAGGTCCAACTTTGAAAAATCATAACTGATTCTAGAAAAATCGTATGGAGGTGTTTCAAAATTCTACAAAAAGCTATTTTAATGCTATTTAAGGAAAAAATATCTAATTAGACTTATCTTTTCCTAATTCATACAGTTTAATCAATAAAGATTACTCTTTATTTGGTAAAATCTGGAACCTCCAGATTCTGTGCCTCAAATTTGGAAATTCATATCTCCTTGTGTACAAATCCAATTAAGGTGATCTACTTCTTATTTTAAAGCCTGGGATGTGTGTTATAGGCTTGCCAAATTTTATGGTTTAACTCATTCATTTGATAGGTCAATTGAAGCTTGAATGTAACTATCTAGAACCTACGTTTTATCCCTTAACCACTCTTTACTGTAATTTTTTTTATTTCTTTGACATATATGACTTGGGTTTACTCTTTCCCATTCATTCTCATACATTTTCATTCATGCCATAAACATTATAGTTAATTACATGGCATTGTTGGCATCCGTAACATAATTCACAAAATGGGAGAATTATACATTGAATATAATCTCATTCATTAACATCGATAATTCTCCACTTTCTTCTTCTTGCTTCTCATGCCATTATTGCTCACCATTGATTGACCTAAATGGTTGGTTAGGGAGAGGTGAGATTCTAGAGAATCTCAGTAGCAAACATTACCATATATATACACAAGATGGATGCTAATATGGTGTGTAGTTTTTCCATAAATTTAGTTTAACTAGTGACATACCATCATGCTTTATGTTTGGTATAAAAATGCATGGTTATGGAAACATATTAAAACAATATTTTCAACAATAATCATCATGTCACAACATCATTCAAACATCAACAAATACAAACCAACACATAAGTATACTACATCAAGTACATAAAAGGGTAAGTTCACTACCTTACACCTCAAGCTTTCCTCTTGCTTTTTCTTTGATTCCCTTGACTTTTCAACCATGATAGCTTTCAATCAACATCAATAAACATCCTCTTGGATGTTTCAAGGTCCTAAACATAACCATATTGATCACACAATCTACTAGGACCAAGAGATTACATAAAGTTCAAGACAACTTTCTTGAACTTAACCCCTTTTTTTCTTAATTTTTGGATTAATGTTTTAGCTTTGTAAAAATTGTTCTCTTAGACTAACCCTACACAATTTTGCCCAAGGAATCCAAATATCCACTTAGATTTATGTAAATCCAACTTCTTCCTTCCAATCTGTTTTGGCCGAATAGAGGGGATTTGAAATCAAAAAATTTCAACTTTAATTCCAATG